ATCTTTAACAAGATAAATAAGAACAACAATTGTCCTTAACATTAAAACAGTTCATGTCCTAACATGAAATTCATTTTAATGTTCCAGCTATAGTTGGCATAAAATGACATTTCTCTAATTTCAATACTAAACCAAAAGGCAATGGTAAGAAGTATATTCATACATGTAATGTAGCAACATTTGCTCATCTTCAACGTGTATGTCAACTTCTCCCTTTCGCAGTGGTCTACTTCTTTTTAGTTTCTCCATATTTGTATAAATACGATATTTACATCTGGTATCATATACCTAAGAAACTCGTGAAGTAGACGTAAGCCATACAATATTCCTTCCAATGACCTTTCATTCTATAATGAAACCAAGGGTCATTAGATTTGGTATTTGTCCTTTCGCTTATACTGTCTTAACCATATTGGGTGTTTTCACAAAGCCCCTTTAGACTTCCTCTTAATATCTTTAAAGGAATAAATGGTTTGCCCACTACTAACTTCGATAAAGGGGTTAACAGTCCTAAGCATGTTAAGCAACTCAATATTTTTGCATTCGAGCTTATTCACGTTAAATTCATAATTAGTTGTGAATAGCTTTAGCTGACAGAAATTATAGGACCAAGTCACTACTTAGTTCATGGTTTATGATTGAATACAGTTGAGACATTTCTCAACGTCAATCATCTTCAGTGTCTAAGCATCGATTGAAGATTACTCTGTCATTTTGCACCGGTATAGTTGTTTGGAAGTCTCATATCCTTCCACACATGATTATTATCATACAACTCTTTGTAGTGAAGAATTATGTGTTAACATCTATACTCTCAAGTTACTTTTGTAACTCAGTGACATAGCTGCAAGTATCACATACGTTGTAGTACTATTATCATCACTGCGTTTACTATGGTAGCCACCTCTTTTTTAATCGAGTCATCAGCAGGTGTCTCTGGAAATGGCTACTCAAGGACGTGACCAATTTTCTCATGCATAAGAACAATTTTCAAATTGCAGTGTCAATTAAGAAAAAAAATAATTTGGTTGTTGGCATCTAGTATGCCATTCA